GTAGCTTTAGCCAAAATTTTGAAATCTGGTCTATAGATTTCTCCCACGCTGTTGTTTTTCAAAATTGTTTGTGCTGTGTGGTTCCTTTGCCTTTTCATATATGTTTTAGAGGGATTAGGTGTGTGTCCAAGAGCCTGGAAGGTACATGTGGTTTACGATTGACTGCTAACTTCAGGTTTGGTAGTGTGAACCTGTTCAATGGCTGTGGGGGAAAGACCTGGCCATCTGCTTCCGTCAAGATTGTAGCCAAGGAATTCTGCGGAGCATTTCTCCTCTGTCACGTGGAGTTGCTGCCATGAGGTGAAATCAACTTTAGGGCAATGGGTTTAGTTTACAACACCTATCTCTATGATTTTAATAAGAATCATTTGATAGGAGTCCTGATGTGCTATAGGATAAGCACTGGACTGTTAAGCACAAAACCAGCAGTTCAAACCTACCAGCTGCTCTTTGGAAACCCTATACAGGGTTGCTATGAGTTGGAACTGACTTGATGGCAGTGAACAACAACAGGGTCCAGCCTGTTGCAGGGGTGTGTGTTTTAGCACATGCTGCTGGCTGCTGGCTGTAAGTCTGCACAGGCATTCATTACCCTTTGCCAGCCCTGTTCAGCCCCTGTCTTGGACAACTGCCATTCTCCTCAACATTGTTCCTTCATTCCTCTTCACAGTACTTGACTCTGTCGTGATGTTGTGTGTCTTGGTGTTCTGCAGCCCATGTACTGGCAGAACTGTGCCGCGTGTCCTCTTCTGTGCCCTCTCCCAGTCATGTTGTGTTGTGTGTTTTTCCCTGGTGATCCATTACCACGCTCTCCCTTGCCTCTCTGTGACTGGGAAACCGTGTTGTTAAGTGGATGTGGACTCCTGGTGAGCCCACGTGTGCAGAGTAGGGTTTCAAGGCTCTGACCTTTAGGAAACATTACCAGGTCTGTCTTCCTAGGTGCTACTGGGTGGTTTGAGCCACCAACCTTTCGTTTAGTAGAGCACTTAACCATTTGCGTCACCCAGGGACCACGTGAGAAGCTGTGTGTTCTGGGAGGTTTCAAACGCCCCGAGCCCCTTGCAGTCATGACCTGGTTCTGCCTTGGCCGAGCCTGCTGCCCTCATGTGACCACCTGCACAGAAGGCTGTGCCCCACTCCTGCGTGGAAGGCTGGCTGTGTCAGGGTGATCAGGTGTGTCTCCGTGTCTCCTCTGGGTTTCCAGGTCAGTGGGAGCTGTATTGTGCTCTTTCCCTGCAGCTGCAGCTGAAAGGCCTTCCTCTAGCCACTGCCACATTGTGGGGGCCCTGGATGGACTTGGGGATGGCCATCACAGGGAACTGTGTGCCTGCTCAGCACGTGTCCGCTGTCGCAATGACCCACTAAGGTGTGTGGGCACTGGACAGGTGCAACTCATTCCTGGGAGGAAGCAGTGTCGTAAGAGGAAGTGGAGCTTCCCGTCAGGCTCCCCATTCCTCCCCTGCATGCATTGCAGGACCGGAAATGTGTGTAATGAAATAGGAACTTCCAGCTGGTGTCATTGACCAGCACACCCAAATCTGTCCCCTCTGTCTGAGTTCTCCAGTGCTGCTGAACAGAAGCACCACAGTGGGGGGCTGTAACAAGCAGGGTGCCAGCTCTTGGGATGGCTTTCTCTCTTTGTCAAATTCTGAGGAACGTACTTGTCTCTTCTGATCTTTTGCTCCTGGAGATCTTTATATGGTGGCTAGGTATCACTTTCCCCATCTCTGCTCCTAGCTTCCTTGTTTAATCTTTCGTATATCTCAAAATAAGGAGCCCTGGTGACACGATGAGATAAGCATTGCACTGCTGACCATAAGGCAAGTGGTTAGGAACTAACAGCTGCTCCTTAGGAAAAAGATGAGACTGTCTGCTCCCATAAAGATTTTGCTAAATAGGGTTACTTTGAGTCAGTGGTAGTGGGTTTTGAGCTTGGTATATCTCAGAAGATAGACCCTACACTAATCCTGCCTCATTGACATAAATACAGCCCATTTCCAAATGGGATTATGACCTTAGGCATCAAGGCATTTATAACACACAGTTTTGCGGGGGAGACACAATTCAGTCCATAACCCCTTAGTTCTAGAGGGAGGCAGTGGTGGGTCAGTGGTCAAAGGCCTCACCTTTCATTCTGGACATCTGGGTTCAATTCCTGTCCAGTGTACCTCATGCGGCCACCACCCATTTGTCCCTGGAGGTGCATGTGTTGCTGTGATGCTGAACAGTGGCACTTCCAGTCTAAGATAGACTAGGAAGAAATGCCTGATGATCTGCTTCCGAAAATCAGCCCATGATCACAGCTGATCACAGAGCTAGCACCATGACACCATCAGGGCCTCTCACCAGTTGCTATGGAGCTGACCCTGCGGTGGCTTCCCAATAAAATGCCAGGGTAAAACTGCGCTCCACAAGCTTTCCAGTAGTGGAGAGTATAGTGGATTGCCAGGTCGTTATTGCCACGTACCTCTGAGTGAAGTCAAATCTCCAACCTTACGACTAGCAACTGAACACATTCATCACCTGTAGCAGGGACGCTGGCTGTGTACTTAGGTTTTTCTAAATATCCTCGCGGTGGCCTCTGTCTTTTTCTCAAAGTTTAAAAACAATTTTTTGTTGTTGCTTTTCTTACTTTTGGTGCTGCTCTGTGTCATTTATCTCAGTCTCCAGGATTGCCCCTTTCTCTTGTGTGTGTGACTTTCTCCTCCTCTCTTTCCTTTGTTTGTGACACATCTCAGTTGCTTTTACTTTCAGGTCCCTGTGTTTGTAGATGCTTGAGTTAGTTCCCTGTGTAGCCTGAGGAGTCTCTTCATGCAGACAGCACATGAGTGCAGTGAGCAGAGCTGGATATCTTAACCAGAGGGGGCCCACGTCTTCCGCTTTATTATTTGTTCTTAAAGATAATATGATAGTAGGCAAGTGTGTAGAGACCAAAATTTATTAGTAGTTTCCAGAGATTGGAGGGAGCAGTCCTGGGGACACAACAGTTAAGTGCTCAGCTGCTAACAGAAAAGTCGTTTGTTCAAACGCACCAGTGACTCCTAAAGATGCCAGCAATCTGCTCCCATAAAGATGGGTGGTGGTGGCATGTTGTTGACTCCTAGCAACCCTGTATATAGGGCTTCAGAGGCTGTAGGTCGCTGCTGCTGCTGCTGCTACATGCTGCCGAGTTGATTCCGACTCATAGCGACCCTGTATAGGGTTTTAGTTGGTTCCAACCCATAATGACCCTGTATAGCTCAAGCTGGTGAGTTTGAGCTGCCAACCTAATGGGTCAAGCCGACTTTGCAGTCGAGCACATTAACCCACAGTGCCACACCAGCACTCCGTAGATCTTTAGGGGAGCAGAAAGCTTCATCTTTTTCCCACAGAATGGCTGGTAGATTTGAACTACTGGCTTTGTGGGGAGCATCCCAGCTCGTAATCCACTAGGCTATCAGGGTACCCTTCCCATAAAGATCATGGGCTTGGGCAGTTCTGCTCTGTCCTGTAAAGATGCTACGAGTCGGAATCAACTTGCTGTCATGTAACAGCAACCGTACCAGGCTGGGGAATCACTACTTGCGGGACCATTTCTGTTAATGGAGGTGGAATAATGGTGCTGGCACACCATGGTGAATGTAATCAATGGCACTGAAAATGCCCTTGTAGAGAATGTTAATCTGGCAAATGGTCTGTTGACACGTTTACCACGATAAATAACAATAGGACAGAATGCCAGGCATCTTTAAAGAGTCCAAAGCAAGCTCTGAGGCAGGGACTCGTGCCCACACCATCCTCTGTACTGTTGTACATCTGTGTGTTCTATCCCTCTCCTCGTTCTCTCTGTATCACTGTCCTCCTCCCTCGGGGAAACTCCAGCACTTCCTTAAGCCAGGCTTGATCTGCCGGCTTGAGTGAGTGCTCATTGTCCCCTCCTGCCCCCCTCCCTGCTGGTGGCCCTTCCTGAGGTTGGGAGTGCTTGAACTAGGCTGCAGGCCAGGCAGAATCCAGGCATGGCCCCGAGAGCCTTTCATAGGATGGTCACCTCAGATGGATGTATCCCGGGACTTCATGGAGCAGCCACATGGATGGCTGTGAAGGGGGTGGGGACAAGGCTTAGGAAAGGGCTTAAGGGGTGGTTGGAGGTTGCCGAGTCCTGCTACCCATGTGCTCCTGGTGCACAGAATCCCCTACTTTGACCTTGGAGCCAGGGAACAACCTGCAACAAGAGGATAAACATCAGCTCCACTGCTGCTGTTCCCAAGTGACTGCACCATTTCAGATTTCATAGTGCAGATGGTTAATATGCTCAGCTGTTAACTAAAAGGTTGGAAGGTCAAGTCCTTGGAAGAAAGGCCTGGCAATCTACTTCCAAAAAAACCAGCCACTGAAAACCTTACGGATCACAGTTCTGCTCTGACACACATGGAGTTGCAGGCATCTGAGTCAGCTTGAAGGTAACTGGGTTTTGGAGTCTCTGAGTGGCTAGACTCCTAGCCAAGAGGTTGACATCAGCACCACAGAAGAAAAACTTGATGATGTTTCCATCAAGTTGCCAGCACACCTTGTGGAGTGCAGTTCTCCCCCTAACACGGGCTATCTCTATGAGTCGGACAACTAACAACACCAGAGAACACCAGCATGTCTTTTTCCTACATCTACACTCACACATACCCACTGCCACTGAGTCGACTGCGACCCTAAGCCACCGTATATGGAGTTTCCAAGAGGGTCAGTTTTTTTATGAGAATGACAGCCTCATCTTTGTCCCAGCGATCTTGCTGCTGATAGCTTACTGCCTAACACACAGTGCCACCAGGGCTCCTTCCTAAATCTAGCAGGTGTGATGTCGGTGTCTGCAAGGAAATCCAGTCCTGGGCATATAAGCCATTGAAAGTGTGGGTTTTGATTTTCACCCCTGGGTATTTTGGTCCTGGCAAAACTGTATGATGATGCTTTTCTTTAGAGAGGGCATATATACTTTTGACCAATATCTGTGGTTTTGTTTACAGATTCCCACTGGAAATCCATTATATGAATCTTATTACAAGCAGGTAAGTTTGACACATGTGATTTTAGATTGAATTTGTGTGTAATTGAGGGCAGGGGGGCCTCAGAGGTAGAATTCTCACCTTCTGTGTGGGAGACCAGGGTCTCGATTGCTGCCCATTGTGCCTCATGTGTGGCTGCCATCCCTTTCTTAGTGGAGGTGTGAGTGTTGTGAGGGTGCTGAACAGGCTTCAGTGGAGCTTCCTGACTGAGACTGGGAAGAAAGGCCTGGTGATTGATTTCTGAAAATCAGACCATGAAAACCCTGTGGATCACAGCTATCTGATCCACAACTGATCACAGGGATGGCTCAGGAGTGGGCAGCATTTTGTTCCTCTGCGAATGGAGTTGCCATGAGTTGGAGGACCAGCTCACCTGCTGCTAATAGCAGGTGTGTAATACAACTGGAGAGCACATCTCTGACTTTAAGCAACATGTAGCCTCTGCCCCCTGCTGTCCTCAGACGCCTCACCTGATGCTTCCCTGTTGGTTCTTCTGTTGCAGGTAGACCCAGCATACACGGGTCGGGTCGGGGCGAGCGAAGCTGCACTTTTCCTGAAGAAATCTGGACTTTCGGACATTACTCTCGGGAAAGTGAGTTTGGAACAGCATAATTCTGTTTGTCTCCCCACCCCCGTCTCGTCCCCCCTAGTGGATGAAGACCACCTGTGGATAGAGCCCTTCAGGAGCTGCACCCTGAGGAGGTCCTGACAGGCTCACAGCTGGACATTGGCCTGGCATAGGTCCCATCACCAATGGAATGAGAGACCTGGGTGGTCCTGGCTCTGCTGCTGACGCTCTGTGAGCCTTGTGCAGGCTGCCTGCTAGTTTCTGCCTGCCCTGTGCCCTGCCCTCATCAGTATACAGAACTGGCCAGTGGTCAAAAGCTCAATTGTTTTTGTGTTTCTGCAGATATGGGACTTGGCTGACCCAGAAGGTAAAGGGTTCTTGGACAAACAGGTACGTACACAGTGACGAGAGTTGGTGGGGCAGCTGGGCCCAGGCCCTTCCAGCTGTCTGGCTCCGTGCTCCCCTACAGCTCCTCCAGTGCCCCAGTGGAACGAGACTCAGACCTAGGCAGCCCACTGGTAGCACAGTAGTGCCCCCATGCCCAAAAAGGGCCTTTGAGTGCTCAGCGCCATTAGCTTGGTTATTGTGTTTCACAATCTCTTGTATACTTAAGTTATAGGTCATTAACATTTTTAACATAACTTTATTTTGAAATCATCTGTGATTGTAGTAGTGGTGGTGGTGATTGTGTGCTGTGGAGTTGCTTCCGACTCATAGCGACCTTACATAGGGTTTCTGAGGCTATAAATCTTTATGGGAGCAGAAAGCCTCATCTTTCTCCAGCGGAACCGCTGGTAGTTTCGAACTGCTGACCTTGCGATTGGCAGCCCGATTCATAACCACTACACTACTAGAACTTCTGTGATTTTAGTTATTGTTGTTAAGTACCGTGGAGTCGGTTCCGATTCATAGTGACCGTGCCAGGGTTTCCAAGGCTATTAATATTTACAGGAGCAGAAAGCCTCATCTTTCTCCTGTGGAACGGTTGGCAGTTTCGAACTGCTGACCTTGAGGTTCACAGCCCGATTTGTAACCACTATGCTACCAGAGTTGCAGCAAAATGGTGTTCAGCTTCCTTGTGCTCCACCAGCTCCCCCTCGTGGTAGCATCTTACATGGCCATATCACAGTTACCAAACCCCATCATGGTAACTGTCCAGTTGGGATCCAGACTCCACCAGTGTTTAGGTGTGAGTCCGTGCGCCCCCGCTGTGTGTGAAGGTCTGTGAAGTTATCACTTGTGCAGATTCCTGGAGAGCCACCTCAGTCAGGACCCAGGACTCTTCCTCCCCCTCCAGAAACTCACTCAGGCTCCCCTGGTAATCACTACTCTGTCCCCCACCACGGTCACTTTTCCCTGGTGAGAATGGGGTATGCATGGGATTCTACAGTGTCTATAAAACCCAGACAAACCCACTGTATCCAAGTCCTTTGGACTCCCATTACCCTGTGTAGGCGGTGTTAGTTGCTGTTGACCCATAGTGACCCTCTATAGGGTTTCTAAGGAGTGGCTAATGAGCTTGAACCGTTGTCCTTGTGGTTCAAACTAACTTTACAGTCCAGCGCATTAACCCGCAGTGCCACCCCCGAACCCCATAGGACAGTAGAACTGCTCCCTGGGGTTTTTGAGGCTGTATTTATGGAAGCAGTCTTCCTCGTCTTTCTCCGGTGGGGCAGCTGGTGGGTGGGTGTGAACCACCAACCGTGTGGCTAACAGTCAGTCACTGTGCCATCAGGGGACCTTCGTGCACGTAACAGTATCTGCAAGTGACGTTTTTTGTTTTTGTTTTTCAGTTTATTTGATGATGGTATTTGTGATATGGTATTTGTGATCACAATAAAGGAGTCCCTGGGTGATGCAAAAGGTTAAATGCCCAATTACTAACCAAGATGTCAAAGGCTCAAACCCACCCAGAGGCATCTTGGAAGACAAGCCTGTCCATTTGCTCCTGTGAGATCACAGCCTTGAATACCCTATGGATAGGTTCCACTCAGCACCCACGGTATCACCATGAGTCAGATGGCAGCGAACAGCAACAATAGTGATTCAAAAACATAAACTTATTGTAATGCATTTTGAAAGTGGAGAAAAGATACTTCCGGCAAGATGTCAGACTAGGTAGACAAACTACACAGCCCCTCTACAACAAAGATACAAGAGACCAAATGAAACAGACCCAGATGAAAATTCTGGAACCCTGAACTTTTAGGGAAGTGGATTGAGTGCTTGTTGGGAGGAGAAGCTGAGCAGGGACAGCGAGAGAGGCAGACTGACGGTTAATGGCCGGCCAGATGTGGAGTGACCGTCTTGTGAACAGCTTTGGCAATAGAAAGTGGCCTGGTACAGTAGATTCACACAGTCAACAGGAAAGGTGTGATTCCTTCTTTTCCCACCTGCTCTGCAGGTAACCAGAGGGGTGTCCAACTCCCATTCTCATTGATCTACAATGCAGACTCTATTCTCTGGGGCTTCAGAGCCACGTGGTCGGGAGCCACACCAGTGTGAGGTGGGCCTGACTGTACCACTCTAGTGCTTGGGTTCAGATGGCCTGGGCTCCAGACCGATAGAACCTGCAGAGCCATCAGATCAGCATCTAACCAGTCACTCTGCCCCAGCTGCCCTGTGGTACAGACAGACTCTGAAACCAGCTCCATAAAGGCCTCCCTGAACTACTTCCAGACTGAGTGTCCTGAACGTAGACAACACCGAGGCCGATAGGAATTCCATCTAGGGCCAGGAGCTCTGCTGTCACAGCCCCCCACACCCACCTCGTGAGCTCCTTGGCTGGTAGGAGCCCCCGGAATTTTTTCCTCTCTGGGTCCAGTAGCTGCACTGTTTTGTTTTGTTTATGGGTTTGGTTTTTTGTTTCATTGTTTTTGTTTGTTTATTCTATTTTCTCCTTTTACTTCTCTTTCCATTCCCTTGAATTTTATCCTATCTCTGCTTTTGTTTTTCCTTCATTTTGTCTTGTTTCTCATTTCCCCTCTTCTTTTTTACCTTTTGATCTTTTTTACTTCTCTCTCTCTCTCGTTTTCTTTTCATCTTTCCCTTCCCTGGTTTTTCTAAGTTTTTAAAAAATATGTTCCTTTTATTTCCTCTCCTGTTTTTCTCTTCCATAGCTGTATTTCCTGTCCCTCTTTAGTCTTTCTACTTACAGTGTTGTTCTTTCTTGTTGCTGCCAGTTATGACTTCCTTTTTATCTTTATTGTTTTCTCTATTAATTGTTGGTTTTTTGTTTTGTTTTCTTTGTGTGTGTGTTTGTGGTAGGGGTTTTCTCTGTCCTACCCTAAGGAGCTCTGGTAGCGTAGTGGTTACGAATCGGGCTGCGAACCTTAAGGTCAGCAGTTCGAAACTACCAGCCGCTCCGCGGGAGAAAGATGAGGCTTTCTACTCCTGTAAGGATTTACACCCTCGGAAACCCTGTACAGGGTCGCTATGGGTCGGAACCGACTCGACGGCACTTAACAACAACAACCCTAAGGGAGACAGCAACTGTGCTCATACAGCCCAGCCACACCGTACCTTCTGTAGCACCACCCACTGGGCAGGAGCCAATACTAGCTCCTATACCATGTGTTCAACAACAGACAGCAGCCAACACCAGCCAAACTCAGCCTAAACTGAGGTGCACGAATGACAAATGAGAACAGTGTACACACTTCCATTCTCTAACTACACCCACAGGAGACGGTTGGTGAGAGCCGAAGAACACATCAGTATGCAGTCATCAATTAAATAGAATATGACAACCTCACAGTGCTGTGGAGACAACAGAGACTTTTAGTTGACATAAACAAACAAAAGAGAATGGCTCAAACAAAAGACCAAGTTGCAGAACCAGAAAACATATCTGAGGAAGAAAAGGTAAAGGAACTAACTGAAAAAAATTCAAAAGAATGATGTTTGTTGTTGTTGTTAGGTGCCGTCGAGTTGGTACCGACCCATAGCAACCCTCAGTACAACAGAACAAAACACTGCCCGGTCCTGGGCCAGGGCCAACGTCATAATTGTCGCCACACTTGAGCCCATTGATGCTGCCACTTTGCCAATCATATCCATCTTGCTGGGGGTCTTCCTCTTTTTCTCTGACCCTCCACCTTACCAAACATGATATCCTTCTCCACTGACTGGTCCCTCCTGAAGTATGTCTGAAGTATGAGAGACAAATATGTCCGAAGTATGAGAGACGAAGTTTGGCTGTCCTGGCCTCCAAGGAGCACTCTTGCTGCACTTCTTCCAACACAGATCTGTTGGTTCTTCTGGCAGCCCATGGCACTTTCAATATTCTCCTCCAACACCAGAACTCAAAAGCATCAATTCTTCTGCGATCTTCCTTATTCACTGTCCAGTTTTTGCATGCATATGAGGTTATTGAAAATACCATGGCTTGGGTCAGGCACACCTTCACCCTCAAGCTGACATCTTTGCTCTTCAACACTTTAAAAAGGTCTTGTGCAGCAGATTTGCCTAATGCAATATGTTGTTTGATTTCTTGACTGCTGCTTACATGAGTATTGATAGTTGATTCAAGAAGAATGAAGTCCTTGACCACTTCAATCTTTTCTCTGTTGATAAGAATGTTGTTTATTGGTCTAGTGGTGAGGATTTTTTTTTTTTTTTCTTTATAGTGAGATGCAATCCATACAGAAGGCCTTGGTCTTCATCAGTAATTATTTTAAGTCCTCTTCACTTTCTTTTTTTTTTGTAGTTAAACAATGGTTTTATTGCTCAAGTACATAAATTTATGCAACCAGGGCAGATGCTGTGGATGATTCATATTTCCAATTGTGTGGGAAGACTCTTTGTTTTATAGTAGCGAGCCAGCCGGTGAATTCTGCTCTCAATCAGAATCAGTCGGAACTTGGCATCCTTATCCTTTCTGTTCCTTTCAAGATGCTTGCGAACAGCAATAGCCTTTTTAGTTAAATGGTAGAGATCCTCAGGAAGACCAGGAGCAAGTCCTTTGGACTTAAGGATCCTTAGGATTTTATTGCCAGTCACAAAACGTACTTGTGCCATGCCATGAGAATCTCTCAGGATCACACCAATCTGTGACGGGGTGAGGCCCTTCTTAGCCAGTTTGTAGATCTGCTCCTTCACGTCGTCAGACGTCAACTTCAGCTAGGTGGGGACGCTGCGACGATAGGGTAGAGCCAACTGGGACAGGCCCTTCCCGGGAGCATGCATGCGACCCATGATGGCGTCTGTCAGGCAGCAAAAAAGAAAGTGTGGGTAGAAACGCCGCAGGAAGTCACCCCAGTCCTCTTCACTTTCAGCAAGCAAGGTTGTATCATCTGCATATCGCAGGTTGTTAATGAGTCTTCCTCCAATCCTGATGCCACGTTTTACTTCATAGAACCCAGCTTCTCTGATTGTTTGCTCAGCATACAGGTTGAATAACTATGGTGAAAGAATACAACTCTGTCTCGTACGTTTCCTTCAAAGGATTGACCGAAAGATCGAGGAACACAGAAAAAACTAGAAGAATTCAGGAACTACTACAAGAACAAACAGACAAAATAAATGCAAAAATTTGAAACAATACAAAACCTGCAATTAGAAATCCAGAAGATTAATTCTTAAGATTTCAGAAATGGACAGGACATTGTAAGGAAAACAGTGGATTTGAAGTAATGGAAGCCAGATTAGTGAGCTTGAAAAGAAATCTCTCAATATTAGTATGCTAGAAGAACTATCAGAAAAAAAGAATGAAAAAATCCAAAGAAAGCCTAAGAGTTATGGGGGACACAACGGAGAGGAATAACGTACAAGTGATTGGACTTCCAAAATAGGAGTCGTGGTTTGGCGCTGTAGGATCAGCACTCAAACCTCAAGGTTTCTTTGAACTGCAGGTTCGGCACTTCCAACTCACCAGCTGCTCCTTGGAAACCTTATTTAGGGTTGTTAAGAGTTGGAATCAACTTGATGGCACTTAACAACAATAAAAAGCACAGAGAAACTTGTCAAATTATAGAAAGACAACTTCTTTAACATCATAAAAGGTGAGGAAATCAGCATATCAAGAAGTGGAACTAATGCCAAACAGGATCGATCCAAAAGAAAATCACCAAGATATACCATGATCAAACTTTCTAAAACCAAAGATAAGGAAAGAGACCTGAGAGCAGCTCAGAAAAAACAAAAAACATCTACAAAGGAGAACCAGTAAGACTAAGCTCTGATTTCTCAGCAGAAACCACGTAGAGAAGAAGGCAATGGGATAACACAGACAAAACTCTGAAAGACAAAAATTGCCAACCAAGAATCAAATATCCAGTAAAGCTGACCCTCAAATACGGTGGTGAAATTAGGACATTTTCTAATAAGCAGAAATTAAAGGAATTTGCAATGACCAGACCAACTTTACAAAAAATGGGAACGACTGGGAACTAACAGCAGACAGCAACCTGAGGTTATGGTACCTGATACCAGCACTTAGAATGTAATTCAAATATGTTGTTAGGTGCCATCAAGTCGGTACCAACTCATAGCGACCCTATGCACAACAGAGTGAAACACTACCCAGTCCTGGGCCAACATCACAATCGTTGCTACCATCTCTGCCACCACTGTGCTAATCCATCTCTAGAGGGTCACTGTGAGTCGGAGCTGACTAGATGACACTTAGCAACAACATTCCTACTACCAGAAGGCTAATCATGTTACCTTTTTTCCATAATTCTCTTACAAGTGATTTTAAATGGGTCTGGATTTAATCCAGTCCACCTTTCTCCAAAACGATTCCAGTGTGCATTGCTTTGGGGTGCACAGCCTGCAACCACATCCACCAGGAAAGCACCGCAAGCTCTCCCTCCCTCTTCGAGGGCCTGGTGACTCTCATAGGAGAGGCCTGTTCACTCAGCCTGGCATGGGTCCTGAACTCCTCGGCCCCTGGGTGCAGGCCCATGTTCCCCTCTACTCGGAGAGGCTAGAGGCATCCGCCAGGGAAATGGCTGATCTAGTACTCATCCACATGAAGGTATTTTAAGACCAGCATTGTGTTTATAGCTTTAAAATTTCAGTGTCCTTAAGCCCGTTAATTGTCTCATTTAAACAAATAATAGGTGATTTCACATGCTTGTTAAGCCTGAGACGTGGCCAGTTCTGGGTGAGAGGAGGCCATGGGGGAGAAGGCCGTCTAGCTTGGGTCCTATGGTCCTCTGTGTGGGGGCATGCAGTCTACAGTGGGCCATGGTGGGCACAAACCCCAAGAGGATGCTCTTCTCTGAGGGGCAAGTGAAGATTCCAGTGAATAGGAAATATAAATTCCAGAAGCAAAACAAAACTCATAGGTGTCTCATAGTGACCCTGTGTAGGGTTTCTGGCGCTGTAAATCTTGACCGGAACAGAACATCTTTCTCTCATGGAGCGAGTGGGGTGTGAACTGCCAGTCTTGCAGTTAGCTCTCCAGTGCTTATCCTGTAGTACCACCAGGGCTCCAGTGCCTGAACAGCTACGTCAATTTAAACTACAGTCCCAAACTCAACGTAGCTCCGTTCTATAATTTGTGGTCTGACCTGACCCATGTTAACACCACCACTTCCACAATCTTACATTTCCTTACTGTGGGGAGCCTCTTCTTGTGAAATTTTGAAATGCTCAAGTTGAATCAGGGGGAGTCTGTTCTAGCACATGCCTTCAAGTGGTGTTCGCAGAGTGAGTTCCATCACGTCTGGATCTGTGTGTCATGTGTGCATAGACTATGTTGTGCCGCGAGTGAGGTCCCCTGTCCTCTGACTCAGTGCTCCAGGGCTGTTACCAGCTGTACAGTGTTCGTTCTCTCTTCTTTTGGATCTGCAGGGTTTCTATGTGGCACTGAGGCTGGTGGCCTGTGCACAGAGTGGTCACGATGTCACCTTGAGCAACCTGAACCTGAGCATGCCGCCGCCCAAGTTTGTAAGTGTCTCAAGCCTTCTTGTTTGCCTTCTAATGCCATCTGCCTGTCTGTCTGTCCCACGTGTCCTCCTCGCTGTTAGCTTTCATCCCTTTCAGTCAGTAATTTGGTTCTTTGCCAGTGACAGTACCTGTCCCTTTTCCTTTCAGCATGACACGGGGAGCCCGCTGACGACTGCCGCACCCTCTGCTGAGGCACTCTGGGCTGTGAGGGTAAGTGGACAACAGGATCGTGCTGGCGGTGGTGGTGGTGGTAATGAGGCTCAGAAACGTTGTTTAGGATGATTGTGTCACCCGTTTTGTGTCAGTGTGAGTGGCCACTGGTCCTGACAAAGCACTTTTTAAACTGAAATGGCTTTGGAAGACCCATTCCTGTGACTGCATTTCCCTGCTACGGAAGTGAGCAATGTTTCGGGAATTGGATTCTGAAGAAGCTGCACTTTAAGTCTTGTGTTTTCAGGTCATTTCCTGTGAAATCAGGATTGTTGTTGTTAGCTGCTGTCAAGTCAGTCTCTGACGTGTGATGACCCCATGCACAGCAGGACAAGATCTGCCCGGGCCTGTGCCGTCCCCGGGATAGGTTATCTTGTCTAGGTCTGCCACCGTCTGGGTTTCGGAAGAAGATTGGCAGGCTTTTCTTCCTGGTCCAGTTTAGTCTGGAATCTTTGCTAAAAGCTGTTCGGCATCAGAGCAACACACAAGCCTTTACAGACAGACAGGTGGTGGCTGCTTATGAGCTGCGTTAGCTGGGAAACGAACCCAGGTCTCCGGCATGGAAGGCAAGAACTCTGCTTCTGAGCCGCACTGCCCTTTGTTCATTAGGAAAAGGTGACAGCCCCATAACGTCTCATCTTCTCTCTTATTTCCACCAGTTTTCATGTATCAATCTTTCCTTTCTGATGCTCATGGTGGCCATTCAGACGTGTCCTTCTCTCTAGAATGAGAAACTGAGTCCTGTCACCCAGTCAGAACTGAAGCAGGTGTGAAATGTGGAAACCTGTGCCCAGATACGGGCAGATTTATTTGAAGATGAGGTGGTGAGGTGGAAAGAGAGCTTTTCACGTTTTCTTTTTATTTGGCATAGATAGTGAATTAACGAAGGATAGTGGTGGTTTGGAAGGAGCTCTGGTAGTGTAGTGGTTCTGAATCGGACTGGGAACCGCAAGGTCAGCAGTTCGAAACTACCAGCTGTTCCGCGGGAGAAAGATGAGGCTTTCTGCTCCCGTAAAGATTTACAGCTTCGCACACCCTGTACAGGGTCACTATGAGTCAGAACTGACTCCATGGCATATAACAACAACAACAATTGGTAGTTTGGAGGCAACATTCTTGCCTTCATGCATTCTTACATTCATTCCATCCCAGCCAGTGTACCTTGTGAGCAGCCACTGTCCATCTGTCTGTAGAGGCCTATGCATGGTTAGGATGCTGAGCTGTTTTCAGTGGAGCTTCCAGACTAGATTCACTAGGAAGAAAGGCCTGATGATCTGCTTCTGAAAATTAGCCTGTTAAAATCTGTGGATCCCAACAGTCTGGTTTACAGTTGATGATTGGGCGGCGGGGGGGGGGGGGGGGGGGGAGAAGGGGTGTGTGTGTGTGTGTGATGCAAGACCAGCAGCTCTTCATTCCATTATGCCCAGGGTCACCATGAGTGGGGGCTCTCTCATTGGCAGCTAAAAAGACGTAGCAGAGGAGCTCGTAGTGGTGACAGATGTTGGAGTGCAGAGTAACGGTGGTAATGGGCGGAGTGTTGTTAAGGGCCACTGGGTCAGTGCTGACTCAGAGTGACCCTGTATAGGTTTCTGAGAGCCGCCCATTCACTCCTCTTCCCCCGAGTCCACGGCAACCACTGTACTTCTGTCTTTCCCAGAATGTTTCTCGGTGAGAATCACACAGTATGTAAGTCCTGCTCAGTGGCCCTGTGCCTTCAGGAAGGGACGAGGGGGCCCCAGGGCCATGTCACACAGCCTAGTGGCAGCTCACTCTGATACCCACACAGGCATTTGACTTACTTGGTTGCTTCTTCCCAACCAGGTGGAAGAAAAAGCAAAGTTTGATGGAATCTTTGAAAGCCTTTTGCCCATAAATGGCCTGCTCTCTGGAGACAAGGTCAAGCCTGTCCTCATGAACTCCAAGCTGCCCCTGGATGTCCTGGGCCGGGTGAGTATGGAGGTCCTGTCACCACTTGCCCCACTGCTATTCTCCTACTCTGGGTGCTGTCAGCAGGAGTGCAGGTAACAAAGGGTGAGGCCGGCTGGGGGGCTCTGGTCTTCATAGTGGCAGAGATGGAGAGAAGGAGCTAATGGGGCAGCATCTTTTAGCTGTGTTTGCTGGTGTTTGGTCAGGATATGAGGTGTCCCCTGTGGATGTGCCCAGCATTGTCTATGCGTCTCAAGATGCCTGTGTGCAGATCTAGGAGTCAGTGCGTGACCGTTAACATAGGCCAGGACCAGTCCCTGACCACTTTACCTCAGGGTGCTGACTGTGCCATCACTGGGGACACATCCTCCTCGTTCACTGTCACGGGAAAGGCCTACAACTGGGGCCAGGTTTGTGGGTCTGTGTTGGACCTGTGCTCAGCAAAACCTGGAGAAATCAGACCCATTGCTCCTGTTCAGGACTCGTTTGTAAGACAGTCGGTGGCGCAGTGGCTCGGTTGTCTGCTGAAAAGTGGGTGTTTCAAACCCCCAGCCGCTCAGCAGGAGAAAGAAGGGGCAGTCTGTATCTGTTAAGATTGTTATTGTTAAGTGTTATCTGTTGTTGTTTTGTGTTCTGATTCATAGCGACTCTATAGGATTTCTGAGGTTGTAAATTTTTGTGGAAGCAGAAAGCTTCATTTTCTCTTGCAGAGCTATTGGTGGGCTCAAACCATCAACCTTGTGGTTTACAGTCCAGTGCTTCTCTTACAGAGCCACCACAAAGGTGACAGCCTTGGAAACCCTATGGGGCAGTTCTGTACTGTCCTGTAGGCTCACTGTGTATGAGTAAGAGTTGACTAGACGGCAGTGGATTTTGATTTTGGTTTGTGAGACAATTAGGTTCCCAGCTAAACTGAAGGTTGGCATTTTGAACCTACCCAGTGACAGAAGAAAGTCCTGGTGATCTGTTTTTATAAAGATGAAAGCCAACAACCCCCTATGGGCCATAGTTTGACTTGGGGTTGCCATGAGTTGGAATCCGCTTATTGGCAACAAGTGTGTAAGACAATAAACATTAAAGACAAAACCAGGGAAGTCTGAAGGGCAGCCTTGGAGGTGGTCACAGTCATCTGGAAGAGAGAAGGAGCCTCATGTTGCCTGGAGTCTTCTTTGTCAGATGAGAGTCTCTGGGGACACTGGCCCCTCAGACACCAGTGTGACCTCTTGCCATCAGCCCCGTTCCAGGGGCTCCACATACCCTGGGGACAGTGGAACTTTCCATAAACCCAATGGTTTCTCCCTTGCAGGTCTGGGACCTCAGTGACATCGACAAGGACGGCCACCTGGACAGAGACGAGTTTGCTGTGGTGGGCCCCCTCACACCCCCACCGTACTCTCCGAGGGGCATGTGCAGTCACAGGGGGCATGTCTGGGTGCTCTTCTCTTTTATGTCTCTAGATTTCAACCAGCGTTGATTTTGATGTCTTTTCAAGAAGTTGCACTTGATGCAAAGAATTCTTTTCTGTACTATCCAGCTCCGTTGCCCAGTGTTGTTCTTTTCCGTTTGCTTTATCCTTCTTTCCCTCCCTCTCTCTCTCCCTCCATCTATGTAGCTCTATGCACTTCTGTGTACACACACACATGCACATGTTCCCTTTGAGCCATCAGAGTAAGTTGCAGAGGTGACATGATGCCTTTTTAACCTGAGATACAACAGCATGTAGCTCCTCAAACAAAGAGCCCCTTGAGAGAATTGCAGTTTCCTACAGTTCTACAGAACTCAGGGTCAGGGAACTACCGATGCTATTTGAAAGAGGAAGTTAGCATCAGCACATACTAAAGTGGAGCCAAGAATGATGATACTCAGACTTAGCTAACTGTCCCAAACATTTCACAGTGGCCAAAGAAAACCAGCTCACATGTGACCTTCCCTTTGTTCCCATCTCACAGTATTGACACATTGAAGTGTGCCTGTGCTGTGGGGGTGTTTGGGGTCCCCTGTCTACTCATCCAGGGTGGTGCTGCTGTCAGGGAGACGTTGTGTCCACCACACCTCAACTCTGTCCTGTCCTCTCACAGGCCATGCACCTGGTGTACCGCGCTCTGGAGAAGGAGCCAGTGCCGGCAGTCCTACCCCCGTCCCTCGTGCCCCCCACTAAGAGGAAGAAGACAGTGTTCCCAGGTGCCGTGCCTGTGCTGCCTGCAAGCCCACCGCCGAGAGACAGCCTCCGCTCCACACCCTCGCATGGTAGCGTCAGCAGCCTCAACAGTACCGGCAGCCTGTCCCCCAAGCATGGCGGCAAGCAGGCCCAGGTACCCTGAGAGCAGGGCGTGGCGGGAGTCGGGACTTGGAAGATGGTGTTTCTAAAGTACTCGCTACAGGCTTCATGACTTGCTCACTTGTGTGTGTGCAGGCGGCTCTCGTGATTTGCAGTCCTTGTGTTCTATGAAAAGAGCCTTGCTGGTGCAGTGGGTTAAGCGTTGATGGTTCAATCCCACCAGCCACTCCATGGGAGAAAGATGAGGTTATCTGCTCTTCTAAAGATTTTCAGTCTCAGAAACCCAAGGGAGCAATTTGACTCTGTCTTATAGGGTGACTGAGTCAGAATTGACTTGATGGCAGTGGGGTGGCGTTCTGGAAACAGTCCCTGGGTGGTGCAGATGGTAAATATTTTCAGTTTGGACAGAAAGATTGGAGGTTTGCATCTACCCAGAGGTTCCTCAGAAGAAAGGCGTGGCGATCTACTTCTGAAAAAGTCAGTCATTGAAAACCGTGTGAAGTAGTTCTTCCCTGACACTCATGGGTTACCAGGGGCTGGAGCCGTCTAGACAGCAGCTGGTAAAGTGGGCAGGAAAGTCGGAGCGAGTCTCCTCGGGGATCGTGTGTTGCTTTCTGCATCATTTGTGGCTGGAAAGGCAAAGCCTCGGGCGCTGCTTGTGGCAAGAGAAAGGCCAGCTGACTGCTAGCACCCTCTGTGGTGATGGCAGTGGGGGTGAACCGCACATGCGCAGACAGTTTCTGAGAGCAAATCATGTGCTTATAAAGCTGATCGTCCACTCGCAGACTCCACCTCGAGGGAAGGGGCCTGACTGGACAGCACACACAGTTCTTGTTCCCACTTTGGCCGGGTGTGAGGGTGAGACTCGAAGGGTTCACACCAGGGTTGCCTGATCATGAGCCTGGCCTTCAGATGGTCCAGGCAGCATGTCCACCAACCATACACCATGCCTGGTGTTGCCAGGAGACTGCAGTGATAGGCCAGAGCAATAAGGAGGAGCCAGTGGGATGGAAGAGCCCCAAGCCTCTAATGTGCACGGTGACCAATGGGGAGGGTCTGCATCAATGAGGGGCCAGCCTGAGCGAGGGGTCTGCTCTGGAACAGCCTTACCCCACAGGCCTACAGGTGAGCTGTTGTCTCACTCTGCTGACATCCAGGTGGGTGCCCTTGGGACAAAGAGGCATGGTCTAGGGGCTGAGGAGGAGCTGTAGGGGGGCAGCTGGTGTCTCCCTGAGTACTGCAGCCCCTCAGATGCAGGGCAGAGGTCTCTGGTGGGCCAGCCCTGGGTGTCTGCCACTCTTTGAAGTACAGGAGAGAGAGGTAGGCGGACTACAGCACCCCACTCCGCCATGTCTGCTCCACCCCCTTGGCCTCAGCATCCTCACTGACACAGTGAGCTTGCCTCCTTGGCGAGGGTGTCATGAGGAGACTGGGAACTAACGGTCACACATGCCCCTGCAGCCCTCGGTGAGCTGGGTGGTGCCCGTGGCCGACAAGATGCGCTTTGACGAGATCTTCCTGAAGACAGACCTGGACCTGGATGGCTACGTGAGTGGCCAGGAGGTGAAGGATATCTTCATGCACTCGGGCCTCACCCAGAGCCTGCTGGCACACATCTGGTGAGCAGCTGGCCGTGCTGGGGTAGGGGTGGCTGTGGGGTGCACAGGCATGCTGTGTGAGTGAAGGTGTTCACACTCCAGAGGGGAGCTGGGCCCTCAGACCACCTGTCAGAGGGGCTGTCGGGGCTGACAGCAAGGCCCACGCTGGCTGTGCTGTCTCAGCTGGTGGAGGTGCAGGGGCGCAGCTCCACACCTCACACTGAGCAGCAGTCAGGACTGCTTTCTGGAGGGTGGTGCCCCTGCTCCCAGGGAGGATGAGACGTGGGGTACTCAGAGCTGCACCCAGAGTCCACTGAGAAACCAACCTCACCCTTTTCTCTTCTCTGGGGCCCAGTAGGGTCAACATCCCAGGGTAATTGACTAGTGGTAAAGTCATCTTCAGTGCTTCAGGGCTAGAATCCTTGCCTTCCCGAATCCAGGAGACCTGAGGTTGATTCGTAGCCAAATGCATGTCATGCTCAGCCACCACCTGCCTGTCAGTGGAGGCTTCAAAGTTAATGTGGCCATCAATAGGTTCAGTGGAACTTTCAGACCAAGATTGACGAGGAAGAAAGGCCTGGCAATCAGCGTCTGGAAACCAGCCCTTGAAAACTCTGTGGAATGCAATGGTCTGATCCAGAACCCACCATGCGGGATGTCACAGGATGGGCCAACATTTTTTTCCCACTGGGTGTGGGGTCGCCCTGGATCGGGGCCCACCTTGATGGTAGCAAACAACATAGGAAGTCAGCTTTTAGACTTTTCCTTAGAGTCCTGGGGCCTGGAAAGGCTTCCCATGGGAGATGTGGGGAAGAGTTTCCATATGATTCCCTATGAGCAGTGAGGGCCAGCACGCTGCTGGGTGACTGGGAGGGTGACCAGCACCCTAAGGGGGAGCCCAGCACCCAGTGAGCCAGGCTCCAGGACAGCGCTCACCTTCCATGGAGCAACTTTGGTCCCCAACCTAAACCAAAAAACACGGACCTAAACAAAGAAACTCATTCATAGCAGCTGCCATTGAGTCAGCGTTGACTCATGGCGACTCCACATATATCAGGAGTGGAACTATGCTCCCCGTAAGTTTTCAATGGCTGATTTTTCAGACGTGTATCACCAGGCTTTTCTTCCAAGGCTCCCTAGGGTGGACTTGAACTTTCAACATTTTGGTTAGCAGCTGACTGTGGTCACCAGTTTCCCCACGCAGGGCCTATCAGACCTGGGGCCCTCTGTGCTGTCCTAAATTGGGCACACATATGCCAGGTTGATGGCATGCCTGACTGTCATGATGGGATGCCCAAAGAAAGTAACTTCTGGCCCGTTTTTAAATACATACGTACTATGATAATGGTGAAGACCCCAGAAACCACGGGTGTGCTTGGACTCCGAAGAGGAAATGCACAAGGCGTCCACACAAAGAGCCAGGGGAAAGGATGGGCTGGATGTGGTGATGACTGGGAAAGTGGACAGAGAGGTTGGGGCCTTAGGAGACTGGGGACATCCTGGAGCAGCTCCCCAGAGGACCGGCACTGCCAGCTTGGGTAGCAGCAGGATTATGAGGAGCCCAGTCCTTTGTCAACGTGCCCACAGTCATCAGGAGACATGGAGACGGTGCTTCAGAGACGGCAGAGGAGGGATGGCGCCCTGGGCAGGAATGGAGTGGATAAGGGTGCTTGTCAGTCTTGGGTGTAACCACCTCCAGCCATCTCACCGTCTGCACTGTGCTCTGGGAACAGTCCCACCTGAGGAGGCCAGTACCCCTCTTCCCCTGCTCAGCTGGGTATCGGCTGAGCAGCTGTCTGTGGGACGGGGTGCTGCAGGCCCTGAGGCATCCTCACTGCACCCCGAGACTAGCCTGCTCGGAGCCTCCTGTGGGTACTCGGACCCAGTTCTGGAGTGCCCAGTCAGGCTGGGTGTCAGAGGTCAGGCAGGCTGAGGACTCTGAGCTGGGGGGACCATCCTCTGCTCTGCAGCCAGCTCTGGATTCCAGGCCCAGTGTAGAACCTCCATCACTGTGATGACAGCCAGCGAGGCCGCTGCACCCCCACACTGACCGCACCCCCTGCTCATCCCTGCGTTGTCCCACCTTGTCCTCATATTACCCCTATCTAGTCTCTGGTTTCTCCATCAACCCCCATTTTTGTCTCCTTGTCACCTCTATTCTCCCATTGCCCTGTCACCTGCTGCCCATCATCCCACATTGTCCCCTATTGCCTCCACTGAAACTTGTAACTTGTTCTGACTCTTGTCACCCTGTGCATCATCCTCATAATCGTCATTACATTTGAGCCCATTGCTGTTACCACTGTGCCAATCCATCTTCTTGGGGGTCTTCCTCTAGCTGCAGATTTGGTCAAGCACTTGGTCTGTGGGCTCCTTGTTCCGGTGCCGTCTCCCTCAGAGCAGCCTGTCCCCACTGGACATGGAAGGTGTCAGAACCACCATACTCAGTCTACACAAGAAAGAAAGCCAAACTGTGTGTCCCCAACCTTGGGAGATTCTGCCCAGGTGCTTTGCCTTGGTGTGGGAGCCGTGGTGGCCTCCTGCTCTGGCTGTACTCTGTTGGGGTCACTGTGGTTGGGCACTGCAGGCCCCAGCCCACAGATATTGAGTGGAGGAGCAGTGTCTTCTGCTGGGCTCTGTGCAGGAGCTCAGTGCTTTGCTTGCAGTGGGCGGTGTATCTGAGTTCATCTGAGATGTGTAATGAGCCATCCCCACATCTCTCCCAGGGCCCTGGCGGACACGAGGCAAATGGGGAAGTTAAGCAAAGACCAATTCGCGTTAGCTATGTATTTCATTCAGCAGAAGGTCAGTAAAGGCCTCGACCCCCCTCAAGTCCTCTCGCCAGACATGATCCCACCCTCGGAAAGAGGCACCCCAGTTCCGGTGAGTAGCCCCCTCTCCATGTATGCGCTGTTTCACACCCACCACTAGGGGGCACTGGCAGCCTGTGTGGCAGCTGGTGACTAGAAACTCCCCATGAGAAGACTCCAGGGGTTAGTCACCTTGTGGGAGGGCTCCTTATGGGCGGCTGCCTGAAGGGGTAGCTCTCTTGTGAATACACCCACAAGGGCAGCATCGCCACCCAGATGGGCACTGGGCTGGTAGCTGCTGGTTCTGCATCTTCCTCCTGTGAACCAAGAAAAGGTTCTGCCCCTGGCCCTAAGCCCTCCCCACCCTTGCCCCAAGGTTTTGCATCTTGCTCATCTCCATGTCCTGTGTGCATTTGGTCCCAGGACAGCTCAGGCTCCCTGGGCTCAGGAGAGGTCACTGGCGTGAAGGAGCTGGATGACATCAGTCAGGAGATTGCGCAGTTACAGAGGTGTGTGACGTCTGGGCACTCTGCTTCCTGGGGCTGAACCTCACATGGACCCCAGTCATTGCTGGAATAGCCCCATGTGAAATATCCCGGGGACAGGCTATTGTAAGTTTGTTCAAAACAGCAAGTGGCACAAATGCTCTGAAGTTTCTAAATTGTTTTAATAAGCTCCAGGAATGACCCCTGGCCCTTTTGGTGAGTGTTAGAGGGCAGCGGGGCTCAATGGTGGAATTCCTGCCTTCCTCACAGGAGCCCTGGGTTCGATTCCTGGCCAGGGCTCCTCATGTGCAGCCACTCCTGTCTGTTAATGGATGGTTGCTTGTTGTTTTGGTGCTGAATGGGTTTCCACAGAGCTTCCAGACTCTAATGGACTAGGAAGAAAGGCCTGGTAATTGACTTCCAGAATTCAGCCAATGAAAACGCAGTCGATCATCGACCTATTGTGGGGATGGTGTAGGGGTGGGCAGAGTTTTGTTTTGTTGTGCATGGGGTCACCATGTGTCAGACATCAACTCCTTGGAGTGTGTTAGCGCCAGCCTAGGGCAGCCTGTATGCCACTGTGTGGGATGTGGAGAGTGTGGTACTGTCTGCACAGATAACCCACTGGGCTTCTTGTGGAGAGTGTGTCAGCATACGGGAGCCAAGCTTTGAGGAAGGGGCTTGGCACCACCTCTCCACTTGTGCTTGCCTATCCCTTCCCTGGTTTCCTCAGGTATGAGCAGGGGTCTTGGATAGGGACTATACTTTGAGTTCCTGATGCAAAAGAATGAAATCCTCTTCGGTATCTCACTCTGATATCTTTTGGAGCTCCTCGTCTTTCTGGTTAATTCTGGACACGTTATGCTTTGCCATGAGGATACAGGCGAGAGGCTTTCCACCAGCCAAAATTGGAGCCAGTTTTGCCTCCGAAACTCATGTGCTGGGTCTGCTGTCACAAGGTCCTAGAGTCAAGATGTCAGGCCTAGAGCTCTGCCAGCCCTCAGGCCATTATGAGGACTCTCAGACCAAGACTGTGACATCGCCCCAGAGGGCGAGCTCTCCTTGAAAACTCAAGGCGAACCCGCCCCCAGCCCCTTCAGCTGTTAGCAGAAGGTCCTTGTCTTGTTGGCTGTCAGCCAGGGTAATTCTGCTTTAAAGCTGCCTGTGGCTTCAGACTCATAGTGACCTTAGAACAAAGTGGAACTTCCCCCCGAGGATTTCCAGAGCTGTACATCTTTACGGAAGCAAACTGCCCCATCTTTCTCTCACAAGCAGCCGACCTTGCATTGAGCAGCCAGGCACTTAACCACTGTGCTTTAAGACCTCCCCACTCAGGCAGAAACAGCAGCTTTTAAGGCTGGTGTGGTCTGAGTGGGAGAGATGCACCAGGTGGTGACAGGCAGGGGCATCAGCTGAGCTCAGGGTTCCTTCCACCCGTCTGCATTCATCAACTCATTCTCACTGAACCCTCACAAAACGTTTCTAAATTTTCAGAGAGAAGTATTCACTGGAACAAGACATTAGAGAGAAAGAAGAGGCGATCAGGCAGAAAACCAATGAAGTCCAGGTAGGACCCCACTCACCTGGGTCAGTCTGCTGTTAGGTTGGGTGCAGGAAAACATCCTTCCACGTGAGGTACTCCAGTGCTGGGGGCTGAATGAGCGTCTTGTTTCCTGTCAATGTAGACAGTGACCCTCTTTTATTGAGATGTAATTTACACTTCAAAGAATTAACCATCTTAAAGCATACTTTATTGGCATTAGTATATTCATCATGTTGTACGTATAAGTACCACCTCTGGCGACTTCCAGAACATTCTTAGCCATCCAAGGAAGACCATTCACAGTCTTTATGCCATGTGGATCTTTGATCTACCTTCTGTGGATTTTTCTATGTTGGACATTTCATATAAAGTACTTTAGCTTTTTGTGGTCCTTCCTGTCTGTTTTTTTTTTCACTCAGCATAGTGTTTTCAAGGAGTCCTGGTGTGGCGCTCTGGGTTACTGTGCTGGACTGCAAAGTTGGTGTGAACTGCAAGCTTGGTGGTTCAAGCTCACCAGCTGCTCCTCAGAAACTCCATACAGGGTTGCTGTGAGTTGGAGCTGACTCAATGGCACTTAACAACAACGTTTTCAAACTTCAGGGTCTTCTGGATGGTTTTCAGGACAGTCCTGCTTGTAGTGTCTCCTGGCCAGCCAAGTAACCTCCAGTGAGGGGACTTCACACCTTGACCTTGGCACTGAGAGCTGTGTTATTTCCAGGTGGTTATGGGTCTGGCTGTGAGTTCTCTACGAGCTGGACTGGCCCTGCTGGGCTGTGGCTGCTTCCTGCTGCCTGTCCCCCCTGGGCCTGCTGGGGTGGCACCTGTCACGGTCCTGTGCGGTTCAGTTTGATTTGAAGCCATGGAAGCTTTGCCTGTTTCTCGTCCCCTCTGTCCTGTCCTTCCCTCAGCGCTCACCCTGTCCTGGGGGTAGTCTCCATTTCCATGGCTACTGCCCCAGCGAGGACTTCAGTTCTTCTGCCTAGGCCATTGTTATTTTGTTGGTGTTGTTTTTGTAACAACTTTATTGAGCGAGAATGCACCTTCCATATGATTCACTCACGTCAGGTGTATGACTCAGTGGGTTTGGGCCTTTTTGCCGTGTACAGCCATCACCACAGTCAATTTTAGATCAGTTCATCACTCCAGAGAGAGAGACTGTGCCCTTGACTGTCCCCGCTGCGTCTTTCCAGCTCTCCCAGCTCTATGACAGCGGAGATGGTTAGGTGCTGTTAAATTGGCTCTGTCTCACAATCACCCGATGCACAACAGAACCAAGTGTTGTCATCCTCACAATGTTTGCAGAACAAACCTGTAGGATCAGGTCCATAGGGTTGTCATTGGCTGATTTTCTAGAAATAAATCACCAGGCCTTTCTTCCTAGTCTGTCAGTCTGGAAACTCCACAGAAACCTGTCTACCACATGTGACCCTGCTGGTATTTGAAATGCTGGTGGTATAGCCGCCAGCATTATAGCAACTTGCAAACCACCACAGCCTGACAAATTGACAGATGGGTGGGGGTTGGGAGGTAGATGTTGTTGTTAAGTGATGTAGAGTTGGTTCCGACCCATATCAACCTTGTGTAGGGTTTCCGAGGAGAAGCTGGTGGGCTTGAACCATCGACTTTGTGGTTCAAACTGACTTTGCAGTCCAGTGCATTAACCCACAGCACCACACCAGGACTCCTGGAAGGTGGCTAGTGGCCTTCACCTCTGGTAGCCACTAATCTACCTTGTATCTCAATGCATTTGCCTAGTCTCAACTTTTCAGCTAAGTGGACTGGTTTCTTTCACTCGGTATAATGCTTTCAAGGTTTGTCCAGGTCATAGCCTGTATCAGAACTGCATGTCTCTTTATGACTGAGAAATATTCCGTTGGGTGAATGGACCACATGGTGTGCATTCATTTATTTGTTGATGGATACTTGGGTTATCTTTACCTTTCAGCTGTTGTAAGTAGCAATACTGTGAACATTTGTGTACAAGTTGTGCATGCACCTACATTTTCATTTCTCTTGGTTATATATGCAGGAGGACTTTCTGGGTCAAATGGTAACTGTGTTTTGAGGAATCACCAGACTGTTTTCCAAATTCACTGAAACACTTGGTATTCTCTTTCTTTTTGAGTCTGGTCATCCCAGTGGGTGTGGCGTGGTAGCTCATTGTGGCTTTGATTCATATTTGCCTAATGGCTATATGTCTTTAGGGAAGCAAAATGCCATAGCTCTCTCCTGGCTGGTAGGTTTGAACCACTGACCTTTTGGTTTGCAGCCAAGTGCTTTTAACGATGGTTCCACCAGGACTACTGCTAATGATGTGAGACATTTTTAATGTGTTTGTCGGCTTTTTGTCTATATGTATACAGATATGGTAATGTACTGGACTGCAAGGTTGGTGGTTCAAATTCACTAGCTGCTCCTGTAAAACCCTATATAGGTTTTCTGAACTGACTCAATGGCACTTAATAACAACAGCAACGTACAGATAATGAGTTTCTTATATAGTCCCCAATCAGATAAATTATTTACAGATGTTTTCTCCAATTATTTTCACTTTTTATGGTGTCCTTTGGAGCACAAAAGTTTTAATTAAGTTTTGGTGAAACCATTTTATCTTTTATTCTTTTGTTGTTTGTACTTTTCTTGTCGTGTTAAGAAAGCTCTGGCAAATCTAAGCTCATGAAGATTTGCTCCTATGATTTTTCTTAGACTTTAGTTTTGGTTTTTAATTTCTTTTGGTTTACATTTTGGTTTTTAATCTCCTTTGAGGTAATTTTCATATATGGTATGAGGGAGAGAGTCTCATTTTATTCTTTGCCATTTAGAGGTCCAGTGCTCCCAGCATCCTTTACTGCAGAGAACATTCATTCCCGCTGGATGGTCTTGGCACCCTGTTGGGAATCAGTTATAGAAACATGGACATATTGCTAGATTCCATTCTATTCTATTTATTGCTATATTCCATTCTACTCCACTACATTCTACCCTATCCCAGTACCACACAGTCCTGATTACTGTAGCTTTGTAATAGGTTGAATGAGAAATGAGAAGAAACAGTTACAAACATCCATTAATAATTAGAATGTGGAGCGCAGGAAGGAATATTAGAAATTGTCAGAAATGGAATGCTTGAAGATCAATATTCAGGTATTAGTGAGTTGAAATGGACTGGCTTTGGCCATTTTGAACTGGACAATTATATGGTCACTATTCCAAGTAAGGAGTCCTGGTGTGGCGCTGCAGGTTAATGCCCTATACTGCAAAGTCGGTGTGAACCGCAAGGTCAGCAGTTCAAGGTCACCAGCTGCTCCTCGGAAATCCTATACAGGGTCGCTATGGATTGGAACTGACACTATGGCACTTAACAACAACATGCCAAGTAAAACAAATTGAAAAAGAATAGCATTGTATTGATTATCAAAAAGAACAGTTGAAGATCTATCAGTGATAGGATAATATCCATACACCTACAGGAAGATATCATTGCTGATGGAACGAAGGATATCGTTGCTGATGTCCGATGGATCTTGGCTGAAAGCAGAGAATACCAGAAAGATGTTTACCTGTGCTATATTGACTACACAAAGGCTTTCGATTGTGTGGATCATGACAAGCTATGGACAACATTGTGAAGTATGAATATTCCTGAACACTTAATTGTGCTCATGAGGAATCTGTACCTGGACCAAGAGGCAATTGTTCAAACAGAACGTGGGAACATTGAATGGTTTAAAATTAAGATAGATGTGTGCCAGGGTTGTGTTCTTTCACCATACTTATTCAACCTGTATGCTGAGCAAATAATCAAGAAGCTGGGTTGTATGAAGAAAAACTTGACATCAGGATTGGAGGAAGACTCATTACCAACCTGCGATATGCAGATAATACAACCTTGCTTGCTGAAAGTGAAGAGGACTTAAAATATTTACTGATAAAGATCAAAGAGCACAGCCTTTGGTATGAATTGCATCTCAATGTAAAGAAAACAAAAATCCTCACCACTAGGCCAATAAACAACATTTTTATCAACAGAGAAAAGATTGAAGTTGTCAAGAACTTCATTCTTCTTGGATCAACTATCAACACTCATGGAAACAGCAGTCAAGAAATCAGATGATGTATTGCATTAGGCAAATTTGCTGTATAAGACGTTTTTAAAGTGCTGAAGAGCAAAGATGTCAGCTTGAGGACTAAGGTGCACCTGACCCAAGCCATAGTATTTTCACTAACCTCATATGCATGAGAAAGCTGGACAGTGTATAATAAGGAAGACCATAGAAGAATTGATGCTTTTGAGTTATGGTGCTGGAGGAGAATACTGAAAGTGCCATGGGCTGCCAGAAGAACCAACAGATCTGTGTTGGAAGAAGTGCAGCCTGAGTGCTCCTTGGAGGCCAAGATGGCCAAACCTCGTTTCTCATGCTTCGGACATATTGTCAGGAGGGACCAGTTACCAGAGAAAGGTATCATGTTTGGGAAGGTCACAGAAAAAAAGAGGAAGACCCCCCCCAGTGAGATGGATTGGCTAAGTGGCAGCATCAATGGACTCAAACGTGGCAACAATAGTGAGGTTGGCCCAGGACCAGGCAGTGTTTCATTCTCTTGTACATAGGGTCACTATGAGTAGGTACCGACTCGATGGCACCTAACAACTAAAAAAGAAGATCTGTTAATATGACTGTTACAGTCTTCTGCAGTCTGAAATTGACCAAACATGCACAGTAATTACCAGTGCATCTTGGTGTTTCCTTGGCAATTCCAGCTGATTGGAAGTTAGAAACAAAGAAGGATCAGTGGCTGGCAAATAGAGCCTTGGTGATAGAAATAATGCCGCATCACATGATAGCATTCTGCAGGCCCTGTGCAGGATGGGATACTTTTATTCAACAACATAATGACTAATATAAACATGATGTCACTGGATGGGGTACACAGGAATCAAACTGACTACATCTGTGGAAAGAGACGATGGGGAAGCTCAAGGCCAGGGGTCATCTGTGCAAGTTCAAGTTGAAACTAAAGACAAT